TATTCTGAATTTTTTACGACAGACAATGCGCTTAATAAAAGTTCACAGTCTCTTGAGGTAAACCAAATCCCTAAAGTAAAAATATTTGGTGAATGCAAAAATGTACTTTTAAATATTTTATACAACTGCACTTAAAATTTTTTACTATCTAAAATTTAGTGCACATAATTGAAAACTTTCACTTCAATAACTCTTGATTTGTTTTTTTTTTATAAAAATTTACTACCTTTTTATGTCTTTTTATTTTTTTATTAATACATATAGTTTGTCCTTCGGTCTACAAAAACGCACTTTGTCTTCAAAGGTTATCAATGCTAAAAGTCAAAGTGTCTGCAAATTCATTAAATGATAAACTTGAACTTTGCTTTTCCTTTCTATTTATTTGACTTTCATCCTTGTTTATATTCAAAACAAATGCTCTTTCTATTCTATTGGTAAGGATATGAAAATGTGCTCAGGCGTGTAATTAAAATAGTTTTTAATGAAATATTTTTGAAGAAAAAAAAATAAAAAAAAATAAAAAATTTATAAAAGCATGATACTTATGCTTTGCCTATTTTTTAAAAAAAATTTTAATTAAAACAGATTTGAGGTCTTTAAATTTAAATTATGGTACACTGACAAACCACCTGCTTTTGATGTACGCAAAAAAATGTAATTAATTATGCGCTTTGTAAAAAGTGTCATCAGCAAAACACTATGAAACTCTAATTAGTGTAAATCGCAATTTACAGCAAAAGCAAACTTAAATCGTTTTTAAATTAATTTTTAATGCGATGATTATGTCATGATATATCTCGCAGCATTCTCGCCATTGAGTGTAGCGCCCCTTCGCAACGCCCCACATTTCAAATGCCGCGCTATTCAAATGTGGTTAGTCTCGAACCCAGTAAGTCTATTTGTTTACTTTGCTCGCTGCGAAAGCTGTAAGAGCTGCAAAGCAAATTAAAAGGTTGAATGCGTTGAATAGACAATTATGCGGGGTAAGAAGATTACTCGTTATATTTTTTTTATTATTTTTTCATAAAGAAGTCATGTGTATTTATTTATTTTATCTATTTTTGCTGTGCATATCCTTAAGAAAAATATTTAATTAGATTATGAAAAAAAATAAATAAAAAAAAACAAAAAATATTAAAACCAAACCAAATCCAAAGGAACACAGTGCAGAGGTTGAGTATTATACAAAAGAAATTGTGCAGTCATCGGAGCGTATGAGTGATTTTTAATTGTTTCACATCAATCAGTAGGGTTCATTTTTTTTTTTTTTACTTTACGTTATTCACTTATGTGCCCTTTACGGTCGAGTAACTATTTATAGCGTAATATCTTTGGTTTTTAAACTTTTACTGATTAATGATACCTTTTTGTTATATATACAGGGGGGTGTTTCCTAATTAATGACAGAAAAAAAACGTATCTAAAATTTTTGGAAATAGACTATGAAATGGGATACCTACCTATTTCGAAAAAAGCATTAATATGCTAGAACTTATGAGAATTGTTGACTAAAGTAGACTTACTGTAAATAGACGACTTCAGTAAGAATTGAATGAAGTAAACTTAATGTAGATACCCGACTTCAATAAGAATTGATTGAAGTAGACTCACTGTAAATAAAAAGTCAACATTAATATGCGGTTAAAAAAGAACGAATGTGACATCACTCATTTAAAAGCAATTATGTTTAAATTTGATTTTTGAAATCAATTATGACGGATTTGTGGTCTGTCAAAAATTGAATTAAATAAAAATAAAAATTTTGTAGTTACAATTTACTACTGTTCAAAAATCTTTTAATTATATTTTATTTGATATATGATTAAAACGTTTATTTTTAAAACATAAAAATTCAAAATCACTGCGAGTGGTCATCATAGTGTATTGCCTCAAAATACTAAATTTGTTTCTATTAAAAAATCGACAAGGCAAAGCCATTTGATATAGAATAGATACAAAATTGAGGAAGCACAATTCGAAAAAAAGACACATATAACAGTATTAAAACGAAAAAATTTATAGCAAATTATTAAGCAACAAAAATAAATAAATAATTAAGAAAAAATCTATGGCAAATAAATAAATAAATAATTTTGATAAAAGGAACTCAAGCGACACTCAAGCCCAAGCGAATGGGTGACACTCTTCAGAAGCTTATTACAAAAATACTATATGTACAAATAGATTATATAAATAAATATATAACGTTTCCAGCAATAATTTGTATATACACACGAATATAACTTTGAGTGCAATAAGCGGATAGATGTTCCACCTAATTAACTACTTCCTGCGTGGATGTAACTAGGATTTTAGCCTATTATGGCTGGCTTAGTTGTTGTTACAAGTAAATGTCAATTAATAAGAATAGGGAAAATAAAACTCACCTAGACAAGACAAAATGATGAATTGAATAGTAAATGGATCCTCTTTCATTCCCCCTGTCATTTGTTTCATTGCATGTACTACAGAATCATCTTCTACCTTAAGAAATATCATATTCATATATATATGAATACATATGGATTAATAATTAAATTAAACGGTGAAAGCTAATCGTGATTTCAAGTTTGAGATCAGATTGAGATTTACATTATATTTTTCTTGATTTAATTAACAATTTCAACAATTTGATAGTACCATACAAAGAAGTTAAAATATAATTTCGTAAGAACGAAGTTTTATTAAAAAGAAAAGCGAACAGACATTTGTTTCTTAAATATAAATGAGTTAAAATAAATTTGTGAATAAGTTATAACATACGTATAAAACTAGAAAAATAGAATAACTTTAATTGACTAGATGAAATTTTACTGTTTGTATTAAAATATAAATTGAAATTAAAATTACTTTATTAAGACTGAAAGAACTTAATGTCATTTTCAAATTAAATCAAGACATTATTATCCACTTTTATTTTTTTATTGTTTTTACTTCAGTGCCGGGCATGCATGAATTTGCATGAGTTTTTACAACATAAAGAACAAGTCCTATTAGAGAAATATTTTGAGACGATATCTTAATCTTCATTACCTAGTGATATTTTCTGCAAATATTCTTAAATTATTTTCTTATTTAGTTGCACATAATCTTTAAATCGTTTTAAGTTGAACTTCACTATAGGGTGCTTATCTTCGGATGGTAAAGCCCATGGAACATAGTTATCTTTTATTTTCCTCTACAAGTAACGAAGCTGTTTTTATTGTGATTTGTACTGCAATTTTATTGCCGACGATTCAAATGCGAGCTAAAGTCTATAGGATCCATACTCAATTACTTTGACCAAAGATATGTAGCTTAACAAGATACTCCATCACCAGTCTTGATGTCACCTAATGAGATTTAAGTGTATTTATTTAAGACTATTTTAGACTGACTTTTGTTAAGATGACTAATTCCATCTTTCTCATAATTATGTTTAAGCTTGAATTTAATACACATGTCAAAATTTTAATAGTTTCAAGTGTTCCAATCCTCATCCATAAACACTTGCTATAGCTTCTACTTTGGTGAAGGAACCATCTGCATATCGTGCTAACAAATTCTGGTTTATATTGTAGGTCATAGAAGTACTATGCTAATAATATTTTTAATACCTATTGAGTTCTGTTTTAAGACATTTTATGAAAGTAAGCTTCAAGAGCATGGTTACTCGTGGCATAAGGATATTAGAGAATTTCTTTACTCGAATTTCAAAGTTCTTGCGATTAAAACAACTTATTATCAAAATAGCTCTTCGCTTGAGTCTGAATATGCATATGAACAATTGTGAATTCCGAAATGATCTCAGTGGTTAGTGAGGAGTCCATACGCAAATTCTTACATACGCTAGTTTTTGTATTCTGTTAAATGTTTTCATCACCATTTTTTGCTTTGTAGAATTCTCCGGGACGGCTGCTCTATAAGCAGTCATGCAGCTGACAATTGGCACTTGAATCTAGGGTACTAGTTTTGGTATAAAATTCGAACTATTTCCTGCGATAGAACTGCATTCCACAACCAAGACTTTGATAACCTTTCTGCTCTTTCCTTTATGTGGGATATTAATTACATCATGAAGCTTTGTTTCCAAAAATTTTTAAATTTAAATAAATAACTAATAAGCAATTAATTTTGAACTCACTGTTAACATTAAAACTCCATATTTTATGTCGAATAAATATATTTTTTAAAAACTTTATCAATATGCGAATGTGAAAAACTTTTGCAAAACTTACAATTGCAGTTTCATTTTTCAGCATAAAAATATAATAAAATTCAAAAACTTTTTTTGAAAATACTAAGTGCACTTCTGTGCAAAGTATTGAGATCTCAATTCAAATGATTTTTTTATTATAATTTAATTAAAACGAAAAAGCCAAACTGATTGCATCGCAAGTCACTTTGTTCAGAAACTCCTTCAAATGAATAACTAAATATAGAAAACGTAAGCTCCTTAACTTTATTTTATATATTTTTGACTGACCATTTCGCAAAATACTTGGCTTACTCTTAATGCAATTTCGATGCCTTACATTTTTATTATTTTTTTTTTTGAAGTATCTTTTCCTCAATTTGTTCATCTGTTCCATTAATGATGAGCTGCAGGAAGTATAAAATATACAAAAAGTCGTTAAATAAAATCCGAAACTTGTTTTAAAATTGCTTATTTTTTACTCCTTAAAGTTAGTCAACGTAAATATTTCATTATTTGATTTCACAAAAGTACGAGTATCTCTGAGATTTATTTCTTAAATCAAAAAGTTGTGCGTTTCGCTTGAAATGACAAATTGCAATTGAAATTGCTGTGTCAGTTTCGATAAAGTAACTGCAATTGCAACAAATGAACTGCAGAACATTTTCTTAAACTTAACAATTTGTTAAACATTACACACATACATACTTGTAAGGTACAAAGCTATTTTCATTGAATTTTAGAAGAAATTTAACCAATACTGCGGTTTCTACACCGCAACAACCGCAATTGTGTACTAATTTACGTTGTCTTTTGATATTTGCAGACCACAGGTTTTGGCGGTCTACCCGATGTAACCGAACATTCAAATATACGGCGCACACTTTCCCGCCAAAACTCAATATCAAACAGTGATTCGGGCGGAGAAATCGCCAGCATACAAAAATCAAAAGTAAATTTTGGTGATACTAAATCATCAACTTCATCTGGCACGGCAAGCGGGAAACGCAATAAATCAAAGGCAGCACAGCAGAATGACAACGTCGAGGTACAACGATACAAAAGCAGACGTGGATCTTGTGTGATTGTGCTTACACTAATGGCCGCCGTTTGCCTACTTATAGTGGCAGCTACTCTGGCCTATCAGCATTTCTTAATGGGGCCGAGTCGAAATTCGCACGCACAAAGACTGAAAATTGTACATCGCATACTACGCGAGGTTCCGTTAGTCGATGGTCATAATAACTTTGCTTGGAATGTACGCAAATATGCACACAGTAGTTTGGAATTGGTGCACCTAAGTCAAGACCTAGATCATAAGTCGATGTGGACACGTCCGTCGTGGGCACAAACCGATATAGACCGTTTAAAACAAGGACTTGTTGGTGTGCAAGTATGGTAAGTAATATTTCTTTTTTTATAATGAATTTTAATTCTTTTACAAAATAAAAATAATATTTACATGAATTTTGCTATGGTTTAAGGAAACTGAATCTTCTGGTTTTTATTTCATAAATGAAATAGTGTTTTAGATAAAATGATAATAAAAGAAAGCATCTTTTACGCAGAAATAAGAAAAATAAACTTAGATCAAGAAGAATTTTACTAAATAAATACTTTCAGCAAAATTGCCTTATAGCCCTGATTGCTTTTAACCTAACCTAAAATATCATATATTCAATTCTATTAAACCAATATAAATTAGAATAGTCATTTGTTGCTGCAGCCCGCTGGGATCTGCTTGTAGAAGACCTTTGAAGTGGTGGTGACCGGCTCTCGCTCGTTGTGGTTGACGAGTGGCTATGAGACGTAGAATCGGCCAATAGTCATTAGTATATCTTTATTTCTATACTCTATACTATTTTACTTGTAAGCTTAATCTCATAGTTCAATCTCATTTCTTTTAAGTGCTTTACTAGGCAGTCAAATTGCTATCTCTCTCTGTCATTAATAATTAATAAAATATTTATCAAGACACATTTGGAATTATTTTCAAAATAAGATCGAAAATATGTAGATCATTATAGATCATTAAATATAGAATAAAATAAGATCATTAATAATCTAAATGAGAAGTGAAGTCCTGAGGTTCTGATATCCTAATATCGACATGTTACAAACAACAACAATAACTGCACTTTGTGTAACATGAGAGTGAAAAACACATCACTTACTCCAATACTTCAAGATATAATAAAAATATTACTGAATTAAAAGAGAACTACTTCCATAGACGCAGCCAAATTATGATATTTGGGGCAATCCCTTCCAAATCAAAATTTTATAATTTTTTCTTAATGAAAATGGATTTCATTGGAAAATGAAAATGCGTTGTTAACTAAGCGTATGGCTTGAATGCACTTTTACTATTTGTTTGAGTACTTTTATGATAATACATTTACTATATCCTGTAGAGAGAGATAGAGAAGCTTACTTTAAAGCCTTTAAAAGACTAACTTAATTCGACAGCAAGAATTAAAGCAAAATTATTGCCATAAAATCGGAAGTGCCCTGCAGGCCTGTAAAGTAAGCCACAGTAATCGGATTATTTGATCATTTTTCATGCACAACTTACATTTAACGAAATGGCTTTCAAGGCTTATAATCAGTTTAATTTTTCAGCGCTGAGTTCATTAATGTAGCGTGCGAATCTCAGCGAATCACTGCCAAAAATTACTAACACTTCGCTGATCTAATCGAATTTTGGCATCAGGCTGAAAGCCTAAACATAATTGACTTTCGGAACTTTAAACGACTGAAGGACTGAAAACTGTGTTCAACAGCCGCACACAAGTGAAAGCTAAAACAAAGCCGGAAAAAGTAGCGAATGGCACATCGACCGACTGACAGACAGACTGACAATTGCTAGGCACACGAAAACAATAGATAATCAAATGAGCAGCAATGAATATGAATGATTGTGCGACTGAGCTGACGAACAGATGAACCCAATACAACAGCCGAGGCAATAATTTTCCATTGCCAACTCGTAGTTTCTGGTTGTGGCTGCTGTTCCGTTATTTTGACCCATAAATGTGCCAAATCTTTTTGCCATAATACATCAAACACGCTGAAGCCTGATTGCACAGTTGTTGAGCGGAAGCTAAAATAATTCGTGGCTCTCTTTTTAATTTTTGCAACATAAAATTAAGGTTGTAAAATTTGGCAACAGAATTTCACTTTTAATTAAATTACAGATTTTTAACAAATTTTTTTCAATTGAAATTTTTATTAACTTCCGTGCACGTCTGGCACTACAACGTAGCATATTTTAAAATTCTGATTTGATTATGGTGGTTTCATTTATTTTCCACGGTTTGCAATTTACAATGCTTAGCAACACAAATTTGGTACGAAACTCATGTACGAAATAATTTTGTTTTTTGCAGGTCAGCCTATGTGCCATGCGAAGCTCAAGGCTTGGATGCAGTCCAATTGGCATTGGAACAAATAGACATTGTGCGGCGCCTAGCGGACATGTACTCCCAAGATACAGTACTAGTTACGTCTTCTAAAGATATTTTAGCGGCGCGTCGTCGTGGCCTAATGGCATCTTTAATTGGCATCGAGGGCGGACATGCAATTGGCTCTTCGCTTGGTGTGTTGCGTTCATTTTACTCTCTTGGTGCACGCTATTTGAGCCTGACACATAAATGCGATGTGTCATGGGCGGGTGCGAGTGTCTCACCATTAGAAAACGGTCTAACGCAATTTGGAAAAGCAATTATACGCGAAATGAATCGTTTGGGCATGATGATTGACTTATCCTACAGTTCGGATGCAACAGCCCGTGATGTGCTGCAAGAAACACGTGCGCCAGTCATTTTTTCGCATTCCGGAGCGCGACAGTTATGCAATTCAACACGCAATGTGCCCGATGATATATTGCGTTTAGTAGCAGAAAATGGTGGACTCATCATGATTAGTTTTGATACCGAAGATGTTACGTGTGGACGACAGTCACGGCTAAAGGACGTTATTGATCATATAAATTATGTACGCGCAATTGCAGGTGTACAGCACATTGGCATCGGTGCTGGTTATGATGGTATAGAAATGCCACCGATTGGTTTAGAGGACGTGTCAAAGTATCCTGATTTATTGGCTGCACTGCTGGAGGATCATAATTGGAGCGAAGAAGACATTGCAATGTTGGCGGGCAAAAATTTTCTACGTATTATGGAAACGGTTGAGAATGTGCGTGACTATTGGAAACGGGCCGCCATACAGCCAATTGAACAGACTGAACCACAACCAAAAACCCAATGTACGTATATGTCATCGTGACCACAAGCACAAGCAGTGCGTACAAATGATATGACGACAGCCAGGAAACCTAATAAAACTAGTTCGATTCATGGTGAGCCATTTCGCAGCATGGCAGCTAGCATTTCTGACGCAATGAATTTGGGTATGAATTTTTTAGATGTGAAGGCATAAAATCAAATTGTATATTAAATTATTATTATTAAATTATTATGTCATTAAATCAAAATTTTGTTATGCTACAACAATGAGCCAACAAATGAGTTGAACACGAGAATATTGCAATAATACGCAGTAATAAACTTTATTTTATGACGAACAATTCCGTATCAAATTTAGTTGTGCGCATATAAAAGAAAGGAAATAATTTTAATGAGTATGTAGTATCACATTCCAGAAAACTTTCCCACATGTGGTTATAATAATAATAATAACATAATGAAAGTGCATAAATTTGTCATAATTAGATGGAATCATTTCTAACTTATTATTTTTTTTTTTTTGATATTGCATATGATATGTATAATCTCCTAAAATTAAACAATATTATTGTTAGAAATAAGAGTAAAGTTTATTTGGAAGGAAGTTTTTATATTGATATAACTTTAGAGACTTCAAGATATTAATGAAACATCATAATGAAAGATATAAAAAAAACTATTATACATTACAAAATATGTTTTAGTAAATCATTATAAAATTCTTTCCTATTTTTGCTGCGGTATGTCCCAGATCCAATAAGACCAATCCAAAAAAATTTTGTTTATTGTTTATTCAAACTAATTTCCTTCCCATTTAATAAAGCGTTTAACGATTTTTTTAAAATATTTTTTATATACTCAGCGATCGCAATATCCATCGAAGTCTTTTTAGATGAACGGGAAAGGACTTTCTTAAATCGCCAAATTTAGTGTGCGAACAATTTGGATCAGGTCAGTTAATCGATAAGAATAACACCCATTCTTTATTTAGCATTCTTATGAACAGGTTTGCTAGATGATTGATCAAAAGGGAACAAAAATAAACGAACTTGGCAAATACCTCGATATTCCGTTCGGACTCGTCTAATTTTGGTACTTAATCGTAAAGTTCACAACAACTTTCCATCCATCTTCTAAGTTTTTAGGACAAATTCACACTTGATTCCCTTTGAATCGAAGAAAACTGTCAGCATTGTATTGATTTATCTCTTCTGAAAGTGTTAACTTTTTTTATGGCTCATTTGATACCTTTACGTATGGTGACGTTTGGTTTAGGCTTATATGGTAAATAACACGATTCTTCATTATTTACAATAGCTAACAAGCTTGAATGATTTCATCCCGAAATTTTTGTCATGCCTTCGCAATACTTTATTTTAGTTTTTTTGATAGCCAATCAGTCTTTGTTTAAAATTTAAAGATCTCGGTGGGATCCGTGGGACTATTTACTATTTTTATATATATCATCTTATGCAAACAGTCATGTTGTATATGGAATTGTTTATGTTATCACGGTTTTATGATCGTGATCAGAAAAAGAGTAAAAGTTATGTGACCATTGATCATATAACATTCGTCTGGTCATGGCCGAAAAAAGAAGTAAACTTATGTGATCTTTCGTAATTTAACTGTCTGCATACATAGGTTTTGAGTGATATTATTTAATATTAAAGTCGGTTTTGTTTTTTTTAACCTTTAACTTTTATTTTGAACGTTATATTTTGTATATCTCTATACGTATTTCGGCAAATTCGCTTTTGCCTTCATTAGGAAAATTCCTAATATTAGTAATTCTTTTTAACGCACGAAATCCTAATTTTAACGTTAAAATCCTAAAAAATAAAACCGACTTTAATATATTTTCGACGTAACCACTCAACAAATTTAAAATAAAATTATATTTATAAATATATGTTTTCTAGTTTTTTATTAATACAAATTTATTTTTTGATATTTATTGTCTTTTCGTTATTATTATAAAATTAAATATTAAATAAAATAATTTATTATTATTTTTATTTACTTTTAAAATATATTTAAGCTATTCTTATACAATAGGGGCATTCGGTAATTCGGTAAGGCGAAACAATTTTGTATACATTTGTTTTTTTTTTTATCAATAGGTAGAAATTTAGCTGATTCTTAATATACGTTTAGACGATGATCATTATATCACTTTACCAATTACCGAATTATCTAACTGCGTCTAAATACCTTCAATAGTTCGCCGTTTTATGCACATGCAAAAATTTAAATTAAATAATGATATATATATTATCAGTATCATTAGCATATATAATAATATTATATATTAAATGTTTTTAATTGAACAATGAAAAAATAAAATGAAAAAATTCATTAAAATATATATGTATAGATGTCATGAGGAATATAACTTAAAAGTTTATTAATGTTTATATTTTCTGGATAAAATCTAAAGTCTCTAACGTAAAATATACTTTTATAGAAATCTAATAAGGAGCAGTATTCAATATATGTATACAATGAATATAATACAACTAAAAGTATGTATAAATTAATTACTAGTTAATTAGTTAGAAAATGATTAATCAAAACGTAAATTGTGGTAAATAGTTATAAAAAATATACACGAAAATGTCACATTGGCTGACTATCTTATTGTATATAAAAAAACAATAAATTTCTAATTGTGATGGTTATTTGAATTTTGATTATTGATATTGAGAAGTTAAATTTGAAAAAAGAAAAATAAAAAAAATACTGTTCTGATTATGTTTTACAAACTGAGTGTATCTATCAAAATGTTTCTACATATATATCAGTATTATTTTGTTTTAATATTATAAAAATTAACAAACATTGTATATCTCATATAATAAAAAGTATAAAAAAATTAATAAAAAATAATGTTTAAATGATACATAAAGAAGCATATGCTAATTGTGCAATTTGTCAAATATATTTTTTATTTTATAAGTGTATTTGAATTTAAACAATATAAATATTATAAGCATGCATAATATAAATTTATGTAAAACTCATAAAAAAATTTATTAAATAAATAAATATTTTATGTGTTTTGATGAAACTTTTATGGTAAGTCACGTATAATTTGCATTTAAAATGCAATCAAAAAATCACGAATACAAAATGAAATAAATAAAACCAATTGAAAATTTAAATTAATATGAAATAGCGAATAAATACTGCAAATTGTAAAATAAACCATTAAAAATTAAAATTTAACTGTATAAACTGTATTAAATAAAAGTGATTACTGGAAAAATCTATAAAATATTGATTGCGTTCCCTTTTTCAATGCGAACGCAGGCAAATTTGTAATGATGTTTGCTAATAAAATTAAAAAAGAAAAATAGATTATCGCGCATTTTAATGGTAATTTAGGTAAAATGTGTGCATTTTAAATGAAATAAATTATAAACAGAAATATAAAAACCATAAACCAATTTGTTTTTTTTTTATTGGTATTAAATGTGTAGCCGAAAAGTATGCAACGAATAAATTGACAAGCCACATGTACTTATAGAATTATTAAATGAAATATATTTGGTCCTTAATATTTTTAGTTTTATTATTAAGTTTTAGTTTTATTCATTAATTTATTAAAAAGGTTTTATGGAAGGTTTTCTATTAATTCTATTCTATTTATATTTTTAGTTTTATTATTAACGTTGAAAATGTTTTATGGAAAGTTTTCTTTTAATTCCATTCAATTAATATTTTTAGTTTTATTATTAACGTTAAAAAAGTTTTATGGAAGGTTTTCTATTAATTCTATTATATTAATATTTTTAGTTTTATTATTAACGTTGAGAAGGTTTTATGCATAGTTTTCTATTAGTGCTGTTCTATTTATATTTTTAGTTTTGTTATTAATATTGAAAAGGTTTTATGGCTGGTTTTCTATTAATTCTATTCTATTAATAATTTTAGTTTTACGTTGAAAATGTTTTATGAAAGATTTTCTATTAATTCTATTCTATTAATATTTTAAGTTTTATTATTAACGTTGAAAATGTTTCATGAAAGATTTTCTTTTAATTCCATTCCATTAATATTTTTAGTTTTTTTATTAACGTTGAAAACTTTTTATGAAAGATTTTCTATTAATTCTATTCTTTTAATATTTTTAGTTTTATTATTAACGCTGAAAATGTTTTATGCAAAGTTTTCTATAAATTATATTCTATTAATATATATAAAGGATACGCGAATATGGAGTTTATTATCTGCTTAAACACAACGTCTGAGAAAACCCAAGGATAAAAACATATTTTTTTTAGCAAAATTCAAATTAATTCTTTAATTTAGTTTTCGTTACAATCATTCTACTGTTTCTCTACATTTCGGCACATTTCTTGTAGAAAGATTTATCTTAAGTAGTAAAATAGGCGTTGCTTTCGATGATTACTTCTTTATTAGACAAATGTCCTTTTAACTGGTGTATTTATTTAAAGTCTACGAACAGCTAGTAGTGCTAAGTGCCAAACCAAATAAATGATATGGATGCTATAACAATTCTAAATGTATTTCGTGAAATTTGGCTATTGTAGACAACGGCCTGAGATACAATACATTGTCTTAATAAAACAACACTTTTTTAGTTTTCAAACACACCATTAATAGTATACAATATATGCTCTTGAAGGTTTTTACTTTTTCAAGAAAAGCAGTAGTTAAGCTCATTTAATGTCGCCTTTGTAACCAACGACCTGTGAGATAATGCATTATATTGTTTAAAAAACACTTTTTTCATTTGTATTCGGTATTGTTTTTTTGCGATCTCGTCTCTGTAGTCGTAAACCACACAGAGACCTATTGGCCCTCAGCGGTATCAGATGTTATTTAACCTCTATGTAGGATACATAGTAATAGTTTTTATGGAATTAATGCGTGATCAAAGTTTTATTACTAATGTATTACGTTTTATATATACGCTTAGTTTTTAAATACTAAATCTTAGTGAGATTTGAACCAAGACCCTGTGTGCCTTAATTCTTATATACCAGTTCCATGCTGTCAAAGCAGTCATATGAGATATATTGAGGCAATTTTTGAGTTTTCTAAATATAATTTATTTAAAATGTGCTTTAAATTGTATTAATAAATGTGAAATATATTTATAAGGAGAACTTGATTAAACGCAAAATTATATTTCCAAAATAATTTTTACTTGTATTTCATGATGCAATTCCAGCAATTTATCTTAATTATTCTCTGTTTCATTGTGGTAGAAGCACACAAAACCATTGGTAATTGAAATAACTTATATTTCTCTGCGCTTATGGACAGTCTGTGAAGGCAGTTATTAGGACAAAATAATAATGAAATAACTTCCGCTCATTACAACAAATGGCCCACAAAAGCGAGAAAAAGGAATAAAGTATTTAAGTGGGTTAACTTACTAAGGCGGCTGCATATGATTTTTATAGTCCTAGTCTTCCTTTCGGAAACAAAGG